GAACGCAATGAATGAAACGAGTAAAACTCACGCGCGTGTCTTGCGATTATTTTATTCGTTTTGGATGGATGTTTACAGCAAATAGCAGCAATGAGTTATTTATAATAATTAATGGTAATTATTTTTTCCCTTCGAAAACTTAGACGCTACTATGATATTAAAATCTAATATAATATTTGATTTCAGATCAATAATACGTAGGCAATATACTATTATTATTAATGAGAACACGCGGTAAAGTGACGGAATTCATTTTCAGATTTCCGACCTTTGGTGTAATGTGTAATGACTATGCTAGTAAGTAGTAAGTACATAGGTACATATCATAAAAATTATTATTATTATTATGTGAGTACAACGCGTGTGGGCTTACGGTTTAAGAACACAGATTTGGGGACAGATATATTATTATAATATAACATAGTCTAAAAACTTCTTAAAAGTAAAAAAAAAAAATCGATTAAATAGATTGAAAAAAAAATACAGTTACTATTATTGCTTTTTCCCACGCAAAATAATTAATATGATGTCCATTTGTCGATGAAATGTGAAGTATTTTAACAATATTTTATTATTTTTTATTATATAATAATATAAATTATAAGATTTTCCAATCGAAATATTTTATTATTAAAACCCGTGAAGCATACCTATACGCGCGCATCATATTATGTATGACGACTGCACGACTCGCGTATTGCACCGATTAACCGTTTCAAAATACATTTAAAGATTGTCGATAATAATTATTATGAAATTGTGTTTGGAAAATCAATTTTTTTTTTTTTTTAATTTATTTTAAATAATATTATGTTTAAATTGTATTTTAGTATTACGTAAGGTATTTATTTAATTTTTTTTTTACAACGTGTGAAAGTGTACGTGTAGATATAGACGAGTTTAACATTAATATTATTATATATTTTTTTTTTTTTGCATATAATATATACTTCTTACTTCCTTAGAATATAATATTAAGACAACTATTCAAAACAACGATAAAGAAGTGCAGTAAAAAAAGCTTTTATTTTCGCACGAAACTCGCATAAAATCTGCATTGCGCGCGATAGCCGAATGATACGAGTGTAGACAATATATAGGTTTATTGAAAAAGAAAAAAAACTCGTTTCCGGCTGCGGTTATAGTTCGCGATTAAAAAAAAAAAAAACGACCAACCGTTTTTTTGAGAAAAAAAGTGTTTTTTTCGTCTTATTCTCGTTATTTAAATAATAATAATAATAATAATAATAATAATAATAAAAAAAAAAAACAAAAATCATTTTAATCTATATTTGATAATATTATATTAACAATAATATTTATTGTGCAGCCTTTTTTTTCCAATCCGTTGCAATTGACAAGTTTATTAAATAATAACATGCTCTGGTTGATTGTAATAAGAGAGTTAAGTATTATTATTATTATTATTATTATTATCATTGTACACACATATTATATAATAATAAATAGAAATTGCACACGTGTTTTTTTTTTCATACAATTTAACGATAGGTTGAATTAAACAATAACAATAATAATAATAGTTATTTATTCGTCCAACGATATTAGTAATAATAATAATAATAATATCATAACAATAATTATATAATTTTAATAATAATTTATTAATGAATACATCGGTAAAGAAAACGTTAATACGAATACCTATTATACAAATACCAATACAAAAATTTTAAGTGTTACTCAGTATCATTATTATTAACGTTATTTATGTAGGTTTATACAAAAAGCTTAAATCGTTCACACCATATGCAACCTATGTAAGTATATAATAATAAACTGTTCGCGTCGCGTGGAGGCGTATATCTAAATTTTTTCTCTGTTGAGTACCGTTCGAACATGGAAATAACTGTTAATCGTGTAATAAAATATAATCATTAACAGTAAGTAAGGGTACTGTCGTAAAATTAAATTTAGTGAGTTATAAATGTAATAGTAATACAGAGTATATATACGGTAGTTGTATATTACACTGCAGGACGTTTTCACTGTGATTTTTTTTAGGGGAAGAAGGGGACTTAAGAAATATGTATTTAAAGTTAAAAAACTTTCTGTATTAAAAGTAAACTTTTTATTTTATATTTTTAGTGTTTTAAGATAGTTTAATTAATTTTTAATCCTTGTATTTATTTATTTTTTGAGTTTTCAGTGTTTTTAGTGAATCAAAATATTATTTCGAAAAATGTTATTTGATTTAATTTAATGTTCAGCACATTTCAATAGCTATATAAAATAGTAGATATTTAACATAATATTAGCTTTATATCTTTGTATGTTTAAAGAATAAATAAAACAACTCAGAGATAATGTTGATCGCCGATAAAAAAAAAAAAAATTGCCACCATAGTGTTTTTTATCATAGAATTATTAATTAACTTATTCAAAAATTAAAACAATAATTTAATTGATTTGTTGTACCTAATGAAAAAATTGATATTGTTGCTAAAAGACAATTTTTCCATTTTTTTTTAAAAGATTTCTTTGGATATTTATATCTTGTTAAATATCTATAATTTGAATTTCATACATATTGTTGGCGTTCTCCTAACAAACTATTGCTTAAATTTCAAAACAAACGTAACAATAGGTATTATATTAATTTTTTTTAGTAGGTATTTAATGAAAATTAGTTATTCAAATTTTAAAATATTCACGTAAATTAGTAAGTTGGCTGAGTCTAATAACTATTTTTGGTAATAAATATTCACGATTTTTTTTTTTTCTTATAAAACTCAGTTTTATACAACTTTTCATTCGTTAATGATAATTGATAATTTTCCGAAACCATAATTTAAAAGTACCCAAGTAAGATAAAAACAAGTGATTTACGGGGACAAACACTGCAATTTATACAGCCGCAATGACGACCATTAATACTATCATTATCACGTAGAAATGTGTTGAAACATTTGTGTCAAAAGTCGTTGTCGGAACGCAAAAATAAACCGTCATTATCGTTTTGGTATGCGTATTAAGTAATACCGCGGTGATCTGAGCATATTCATTACCATTTTATCGTCGTTTGATTAGATGTTAAAGTTTGTTTTTAAACTAATTAATTATAGTTTTATACGTCTGACGCCGATCAACAAAAAACAACGAAACAAAAGGAGTTAATGAAAAATTCTAATAACAGCGATCAGCATAAAGACTGTTGTGAGAAATTATAATATTTTAATCATAACAATTACGATCGTATATTTTAATCCTGACTCAATAACTATATCTTCATAACTACCAATACATATTATATTATGTGAATGCGAATATAAGCATATCAATTATTAAGCCATATTGGAAAAATGGGATTAGGGTTTAGATTTAGTATTATAGGACAGGTGTAATATTGCATAATGTGATTTATATATATTATATATATTTTTATTATTACGATGACGATGATAATGATTTATTGCGAATCCTTTTGACCGATACGAGGAACTAAATAAATGCAATAAAGTTCGACATGGTATTTAATACCATTAATGTTTCCGACGGACTGTATCGAATTACCCTGTAATCCTTTTATTTTCAAACGAAATGCACAGAAAAAAATATTCTGTTGACGGTGGAGTGATCATATATAATTAAAATTTTTAAAAACGAAAAAAAATCCATAGAACGGTTAATATTATTACATCATTACAAACGCATATAACAGGCGCTTTCATTGCAAACTACGTCTACCTATATACAGTAACTGTTAAAATCGTATTATTATATTACAGAATTTTAATTATTATGAATATTACGAGTATTATCATAAAAAAAAATAAAATCAAAACGACGAACGAACGATAATATAAAATCAGTTGAAAAGGTGGGTCATTTCGGTGGCCTAAATCGATGTGCGTTTTCATAAAATATATTATTTTATTGTTGTTGTAACAACGATCATGCATTGTAAGGTGTTTTTAAATAATATTATTTTGACGTTTTGTTGCTGAACGTTTTTGACGGGTGAAATGTTATTGTACACGATTGCATGGTAAATGTGGTAAAAGTATACCACCTACCTACGTACTATGTTGTATGAACGGAGAATAATTTATTATATTATTATTATTATTATTATTTATTGACTTAAACTTATCGATTGTGAAATACGCGTCCATTGAAAACGGTGGTCAACCCTCCCTCTGAGTTGTATGTATATATTGTATTATTTCATTATTAATGAGTACCTACAATCGAAACGATAATAATAATATAATAATAAAAATAATAATATTTATAATTATTATATATTATTCGTACAATTTTATTAATCTATTCATAAATGAGTTCTATTGATTTTGGTTTGCATAGTAAACAGATAACAATATTACCATGTGCTAGTTGTGTTCGCTATAAATTTCATGGCGTTACTGGCGTAAAATAATTTTGATTCACCAAAATTTGTTGTATTATTATAGTATGGGTTCATCATTTATTGGTATCATTACAGTAATGTGTACGATGGTAAAAATGTGACGTACTACTTTAAAATTAATACAAAATCGAAAAGAGTTATAATAAATATAATGTGACATCGTTATTATTATTATTATTATTATTGTTATTACTCTAACGCGGAAGACTCGCGACTAATAATTTATTATATAGATAATAGACACTACAGGCGATCAAAAATATCATAATAAGACTGTTGCAAGAATTCATAAACGGTACAGATTTTACATTATAAAAAAAGGAAAAAATCGTATTAAAAAATTGTAATAGCTTTCGCATCTCCAACGCGTTATATTTTCATATAGTTTTCATATCTGTATCGGCGGTGGCTTATAAGATAAAAAATAAATAAATAAAATACGTATTAGAAATATTATTATTTTTTTTTTTTTAATCCAGTCAAATAAGGCTTATCGGTATATAGGTATAGTATATATATGTATAATAATATATAGTATTAAAACCCGTACAATTTTAGATAAAACAATTTGAGACAATCCGTTTACTATATTTTTATTCCTCACGGCTTTGGATAATAATAATTGTGGTATTATGCATTATATAATATTATTATGTTGGCTCAATATGTTATTAGAAAATTATCCCTTCAAAAGAGTGAGATTCTGAGTACAATTTTTATTATCGTTATTAATATTCGCTTAAAAAAATATTATAAATAAACTTGTCGGAGGTAACTTAACGAAGGAAACATCTTAGCTATCACAGCACAGCACCTTAAAGGCGTTTGGAGACCTGGACGGCCGCCGGATTGCAATTTGAATACTAGAATTATAAACAACACATCAGTATAAGTTAAATCATCATCTTAATATTATACAATACTCGTTATCAATAAACAAATACAAATATTTATTCTTATAAAACAGATAAGTAACTATTAATAAAGTTATTCACAAGCCATTTTTTTTTTTTTTTGGTTTATAGTTACGAATCCATAATCGAATGGCATCTCGAACATGTTAATATGCCATAGAAGAGCATGATTGAAGAGAATAAAATATATTGATAAATCATCATACAATTTCTAAACAACTGACTTTATCTTTAAAATTAAAATATTGAATATATCATAATATTATTAACTATAGTTAATAATTAAATATAAATTATTATTTGTTGTGGATAAGTCACTTAAATATGAAACAAAGGTAATAAAAATATAAGTTTTAAAATATCGATTGTTATATTTTGTTTTCTCACACATAAATAAAATGAATTACGTTTTGTAGGTACGTATAAGCACTTTGTTTAAAAGATTGCACGTGTAAGTTGACATTTATAGATACTATTGTTCCTTATTTATAGTTTAATAATGTATTTAATTTGGAGTACTTTGAATAGTTTGAACACGATATACGCGTTATCTTTTATAAAATACGAATAATTACAAGCAACAGAAAATCGTACATTTTAGTTTTTACACGCAATCACGATTATAGCTAATAGGTATTTTAAAAAATACGAATTTTTCAGTCTAAAATGTTTTGGTACGTTCCTGTGGTGTTTTTAAATTCCAATTTATGTTTTTTTTTTTATTTTGACTGGTGTTTAAAAACTAATGAACAAATATTTATTAATTTAAATTATATCTATAAATTTCCGGTGATGCAAAAGTTTTAATTGGTTTCTAAAACAAAAGTTACCAAGTCGTTGAATACAACTTTTAGATATGGCTGGTACCGATACGGAAATTACTCGATTGGCGTGCTTCACGTTAGCTCATAGAAGTATAATATAGAATATTGTGGCAATAAAATTTAGGATATTTTAATATTGTAACAATAAATGCATTATGGGGTGTATTCGATAAAAATAAATGGAGTTTGAAATATTTTCAAATGACTTAACAATAAAAAGGTTCCTGAGTAAATAATATATTATTATTATTATTCAATACTACACATCGTGATTTACGAAAATTTGGAATTTCAATGTTTAACGAGTTTACAATGAATGTAATTACGTTTTTATGTAATTTACGTGTATAAAAACGGGCATATCTGCTTAAATCGTAGGTATTGCGAAATAGTAAAGATTGATAGATCCTGACTAGGTTTTCCAAAAATTGATCGAAATTGATAGTGATCTCAAAAATGTGGGACGTTTTAAAATCTATGAAAACGTAATATACGCCATACGGTTCAGTGCTATAGTAGATTATCACTGTTAATACCGCACCTGCTAGTCAGACGTCAGTTTCGACACTGAACCTTTTGATGCTGTTGTTGTTGAGCCTGACCACGGTGGCACAGCTGTTGAACTTTTTTGGTTGCTGCGGCGGCGGCAACGACAGAGGCGGTTCGTCCAGCTCCGCGTCCAGCAGACAATTGTCGGCCGACTCCAAATCCATCAGGTCCGACGTCGAGTCACCGCCCGAAGGATATTTCACCATGTGTTGACCTGTGGTGGACGCGAAACGCAAACGTTATATACAAGAGGAATAACAACAATGGACAAAAAATGGCCATTAAAACCCTGGTGCACATAACATTTGCATAATATAATAATATAATAAATTATAAAAGAGTAAATTATAATCAATTTTTTTTTTTTTTTATCGTTTCTGTCAGCGGAGTGTTTGAAAATCGGACGAAAGATCTCTGAAATTTTAAAAATTTCCTGCAACTCCCATACATGTATATTATATTCACTACAGATTAGGGTGACCCGTTTCTGTCCAACTTCGCGAACAGTTCAACTATTAATTTGTTTTTGATTCATGATGAGAAAAGTTTATTTCAAATTTTCTATAGTGAACACTATGGTCACTCAGGTATCGAATATCATGAAACATATATTATATAATATCATATACCTACTCCGACAAAAAAGTGTTCTGAAATAATAATAAAGACATTTTAAAGTTATGATATTACATAATAATGAGAGTTGATACAATCAATTCCTATTTTATTTTTTTTTTTCAGACAGGAGAAAATTGTATGGCAATATATACTTTATACAGTGGCTATTATTATTCAGTTCACCCTACTCTAGGCTTAATTATATACTTAAATATCGGATTTGATATTCAATTGACTTGCTAGGTTAGGCTAATCAAAATAGCACGATTTAAAACAAAAAATCACTATGATAAAAATAAAAAAATAACTGATTTTTATTGCAAAAACGTAGGGTTACAATTATTAGCATAGAACTTCAAAAATTCCCATGAACCCAAGTATATACATACATAATAAGAAAACATAAATAAAAAAATAACAATAAACAAAATTTGATAGAGAAAACTGTATAGTGTATGGGTACATGGTGAGTTAAACGGTCTGCTATAATAATGACCATATTCACGACGATGACAACAATAGTAGTAATAATAAATCTAATGATTGCAGGTAATAAATAATGAGTAAACATACAGTGTGTAAATGTAATACGTGTATAATATATTTATACGTATTATATTATATACACACCAGTAGTCTTCAACCATTTTTTGACTCGCGACTGATTTGTTCATTTATAATTTGTCTTGCGACCAATATTCGGAGGCACTGATACATACTATACGTGTAAACTGATATACTGATTATAAATACTATATAGCTACCCATCTCTGTTGAATTAATTTTAGTTTTTATCTTTTTTTAATTATTTTTAAACGATAAATGTTGTTGCATTGAACTATATTATTATGTTAAAGTTAAACAAACATATTTTAGGTTAAATTAAAAGTTTTAAATTTATAAAACTAGGGTTACCAAACATGACATCTAAAAATGGTGCCGTGTATTTTAATTAAAAGTAAAATCACTCTTTTAGTCACTAAAAATAATAATAATAATATTTTAATATATGTATAATTTCTACTGAAATGAACTTATAACATTTTTATTTATTGTTAAAATAGTTAATGTTATTTATTTTTTTTTTATATTTTTTTTTTTTTTACTATAAATTATAAACATATAAAAGGTTCATTTTATCTCATGGACAAAGAAACACACCATGACCACACAAGTGAAAAGGTTAAATGGTATACAAAATCTAGATGTTTGAAAATATGGTTTTTATAAGTAAACTTAATTATTCCAAAAATTAGATTTTGAATAAATCATTATCAAAATGAGGGTGAGCATGTTTAAAAATATATTTTTATTAATTACTGAAATAAGAATTCGTTTGACAAGAATTATAAATTAAAATGCACTTGAATAAATAAAAAAAGTCACATCGTTAAGCCGTACAATTAATATTCAAGTCGTTTTATTTAATTTATTCTTTTTTTTTAAGCAGCGTAACTTCTTCATACTATAATATAATATTTGTATCTTTAAATTTCTTTTTATCCTATCACGAGTTACTGGCTGAAGACTATCACTGTACGTTCTGTACTTATAAACAAAACGTGGACTGTATATATAATAATATTTATATATAGAATCAGTGGATATAATATGTGTGCGTATAATATTATATCGTTCGCGAACGTCGATCGCGCCGCGACTCAGGTGGAAGCGACGGCATGTCGATTGACAGCTCTCGCCTCAGATACCCACCTAAAGTACCGGGAAGATAAGGGCAGCTAGTGACGTGGTTGAAGTTCTGCGATTGCATGTCTTCTTGGTCAGTCTCTCTGTGATAGAAATAGTTGAAGTTGGACACGATGACGGGCACGGGCAGAGCGATTGTGAGCACACCGGCAATCGCGCACAGTGAACCGACAATTTTCCCCCACACGCCCACTGGTCTGAAACACATTCGAATATGTCACATGTCGACGTGTTCCGGTGAGCGTACAACAATATAATAATATTACAATATACAGTATAGTGGAGGATTGCGTGGCGGTGGTTTTTTTTTATGGATGTTTTTTGTACAATCAATTTTATCATTTCTATTAATAATAAAATATGTAAATTAGAAAAAAATAACAAACGGAAAACGAACAAAAACGTATAAAAACGCAGGTGTAAACACTAAAAAAAATTTCCAAAATATCTAAATCGTATGTATGTTATTATATATTTATATACAATATGCATACGAATTAACATGCTTTTTTTATGAAACACACGCATAATATGAAATATATATAATATTGCGTAATATTTGTCTGTGTAATTTACTGAACAGTAAACGTATACGCATAAACACGTGAATATTTGAGGTGGTCCATTTAACTGGTGGACATGCTTGGATAAGCGGATTGAAATAGCGAAGGGCATCTACTATCTACCCCATGAAAGGTTTGGTTCACAATACGTCGATCGTCAATCTGCGTTAATGCTCATCATTAATAAAAATAAAAATTAAAAATTCCCGGTATTAATATATCAAAATAATAATTTATAAATAAATAAAATGTTTAAAAAAGTATACAGCTGCTTTCTGTTATGTAATAAAACGACAGACTGTTAAATATTATATATTTATATGTTCATTTTTCAAAATGTTTCTGTTTAAAGTAATATTTTTTTGTTGTAATAATGCAAAAACTACTAAAGAATAAGATTAGTGTTGATATTCGAAAGTTTATATTTTGAGTTAGTAATTTGACGAGTGATTGATATAAGAGAATATAATAATGGCATTATGATTTCCGAAAAAACGTCTCACCAATTTCTGGATCACCTGATAAATGTATAATATATTATGTGTATGCGTATAGGCATCGATCAATAAAATTCTTTGGTTTTGTTTAGAATACATGATCATATTAATGTACTTGAAAGTATGTTATATTCGTATGGACAAATGAAAACGTAAAACCAAAACAACAAAAAGTCATTACAATGATATACACGCTTCGTTGAATTTATTATTTATTTTTCAAACATGATATAATACAGGACGATTCTATGATTGCAGACCACTCCAGGACGTTCCTTGATTAGGTAACTTAACTTAACTCTCTAGATTGGATTAGGTTAAAATGTATAATTTCAGTTGTTTTAATTATTTTTGGATGTGATTTCGCATTTATCTAAGCAGTTCATCGAAATGCGAACTACAAGAAAATTATTTTGAAAGTAAAATATTATAATTAAATATATATATATATATATATATAGAGAGAGAGAGAGATACTAAGTGAATATTTTATCGAACACGCATTATACTAAAATCTACTAAGATTAAAAAAAAAAAACAATATTTTTTACATAATTTCTAGTCGAAATAAAATCACATTAAAAAAAAAATTATTCATTTTAATATTTTTTATTACTATAATTTTTAATTTTTTTAATATTTTGAAAACAACATACATTTATAATTTCAATTTCATATTCTGAAGCAGAATATTTTTTGAAGTATTTTGATACAAATTTGGACGAGTATTTTATAAGTTTTAACTTATAAATATGTATAAGTGAACGGAATAGTAATAATACATTTTGTGAGGTATATCTCTCCACTTTATCAATCAAAATTTTAAATATTTATACACATAAACTTCACGTTCAAATTTCGATTATTATGTATTGAAATACTCTAAAAAATATTCTGGATTAGAATATTAAATTAAAAATGTCTGTTGTTATTCTAAAATAAAACTTTAAACATAATAATAAAAAAATTAAAAATATTACCGCTTAAAATAAAATTAGTTTTATTTAGACATTTTGTATATATAAAAAAAAAATATTTTCAAAAAAATTAAAAAATTTCGGATAAATGAATATTATTCGATAAAATAATTGCTCTGTACATTTTTATAACAATTAATATTAATTTTTTTTTTAACTTTAAATATTTGTTTCCACAATCTGTTACGTTTTAAACAATAAGTGCAAGTGATATAAGATATAAGATTTTATGGCTAGAATGACAAAATAAAGAAACCTTTCAGTGAAAGCACTTTTACAGTTAGTTAATTACAACTATAATAATTATTAGAATGTATTTACAATGTTTGGGTATTAAATTTTAGGTCAGGTCATAACACAACCATCTTTTTAATCTTTTTTGGTGATTACCGGGAATGTTTGATAACGTAAGACTTTTTATTAAGGGATTTGCATGGTTTTATAGATTTAAGTTAAGTAATTTGTAAAAAGTGTTTGCAACATCTTAGATAGAGGAGATGACAAGATCATTTGTGAGGACTGGCTTAAAACATAAAAAGATATATTGGTTATAGCATGGAGGGTTTTTTTGGATTAGAAACACTATATACGGTTTATGTACGAGATTTTTACAGGGCCCCTAGTTATACACCATACGTCCATATTGGCTTATGGAATAGTTTATATATTAGTATTTTAATTGGCAGTTTGATATAATTAGAAGTTAGGATAGAGCAAAAAAGACGAAATCGATCATTTATGGATAGGATTTTGTTGCGTAAGTGCATGTGGCTACTAGGTTGATGTTCTAGATAGAAAATGTTTTATGTAGTTAGTAATGTCTGTTTGTTAAGGATGATTGGAAGATATTTTCCCTTCTTAAGAGTGTATGGATTTGGTTTCGTTTATTTTTACACCCCATTCCTTGTACCTACTATTTTTCAAGGAGGAGAAGGTGATCTTGGATGTGTGAGAAATCAACGATTGGGTCGAGATTGTTGGCTATTAAAGCTTTGTCGTCGGAAAAGTCACCAATTAAACTAATAGGCAGTGTGAATTGGTCGGAAATAAAATTGTTAAATAAAAGAGAAGCAGTTACGGTACCTTGAGAATCCCTTGCTTTGATTGGTTTTGGTAAAGAAATGGATGAGCCTCTATTGCAATGAGATGAACTAGTATTTTAGATATCATTTAAATATGAAATAGATGGGCGATAGGGGAAGTTTTAATGCCAAACACGATCGAACGCCTGAGAGACGTTTAAGAAGTTACCAGTGTAATACTGTTTTTCTTCTAGAAAGAAGAATATTTTATTTACTATGCGGCGAATTTGATTAATTGTAGAATGTCTACTACGAAAACTATATTAAAAGTCGGGTAAAACTTTTGTTTTTTTCAGCAATACTTAGAAGTCTTTTTAATAAGATTTTTTCAAGCATTTTTGATTATTGGGAGTAGAATTTTAGGTCTATAATTAGTGTGACAATCGAATACCTCTATAATTCAGGAAATTATATGTTAATTTAAGCATTGCGTTGAATATGCATGTCAAAATTATGATAACTTTCTTAGGGAGCTGATTTAGTAATTCTGTTGTTATTACTGTTGTCATAAATCTTAGCCTGAAGATTTTTTTCGGGAAAATTTAGATATTGTGTATTAATATAAAATTAGATTTATATGCCCTTTTTGTTTAATCTATTTTGATGTTTTATTTTTATTTTCTCAAAGAAAGTATTTTAAAATAAACAGGTACGATGCACATCCTTAAGCGTTTACACCTACTACTCTCAATTTATGCAACTAGTTAGATTGTGTAATTGAGGAATATTTAGTGGTCTGCAATAATCATATAATATACCTGTAATATACTATAAACATAAGCACGCCATGGGAATAATATTATGTGCCGTAAAATAATTCATCACGTGACAAGCGTTTGCACAATCGATACGAGAAAGCCAAAAACATAAACGGGTGTCCGAGCTCAGGAAAATGTTTGTAAGTATCATCTCGTGTTCCAGAATTTGTTACGATAAAAAAACGGATTGTCAAAAAAAAAACACACGCACACGCACACGCACACACCACTAGAATTGAATCCCTTGTGAGATTTTTATAAAACGATTTCATAGTAAAATCGTTTTTTTTTTTTTTTTAATTGCATAGTTAACATAAATGCATATAATATAAATATTATATATGTATATTAACTATGCAAATACGATGGTCGTATAATTAAACTTATCGTTATACTATTATAGTTGATTATATTATTTTAAATATAATGATAATATTTATAAACACATGCAATAATTATACTAAATATAATGTAAACGTCTACACCACGGTACATCAACAATACAAAGTTTAAAAGTAAAACATGCATACACAAACGACTACGAAAAAATGATGTATTCAGGCCAATAGATTAATTATTGTTAGTAGGTAAGTGTAATAATATATTTGTGGGTAATGAGTTTTGTTAAAACTGCAATATACAACTACAACACTGCACTTCGTGCTGCTAAAACTGTGTTATGTACTCGTATAACTTTGTATATGTAGTTATTGAGAATTGACTTATAGTCAAGTAATGATTTATATAATTAGTTTTGTCAAGGCTATTATATGTGTATATGGTAACTATATGTGTTAGTTAACTGCTGCTGTTATATACTGTCTATAAGTCTACCTATAACAGGTGATACCTCTAATTGACGGAAAAAAATAATAACAAAAATAGTAAAACGTAATATTGTGTACAAAGTATACAATATAATATGGTAAATAAAACAGTCTAAACACTCTCTAAATGTTTAAATGTATCATAAAATTCAGTAATTATTTTTAAGGAGCAAAAATACAACGGTAAAAACCAAAATAAAAAAATAAAAAATGATGTATATATATATTATGTATATAAAAAAAAAAAACAAACATTAAAATAATGTTTTAATTAAGTAGGTATTAATAGTAGCTGGTATTAATATTATCTAAATAATAATATTTTCTCTGATCTAGCTAAACTGAAATCCTCTATCGATGTACTATGAATCATCTAAAACGTTCTAAACGCGATGGGAAAACTGCAATCGAAACTATATTATGGCATAATATTATAAAATGTTTTATTATAGTTCACTAAAATATGATGTGCACACGGATGATGATGATGATGATGATGATGATGTTAATGACATTATTATACAGATTTGGGAATGTTGGCAAACCCTAATGGAGCGTACAGTGACAAGACGACTATAATTTGCAATAACAATATTGTTTAAGACGGACGTAGAATTTTATTGCTCTAACATATTCAGTAATTGATGAAATCGTTAAATAAAACAAATAATAATAATAATAATAATAATAATAATAAAAATTACGAGGAAACTAATTATTAATAAATTTTTCTAATTAACTATACATCAAATAATCAAACAAACAACGTATGTTATGTTTATAACATAATAATATTATGTGTTCGTGTACTTTATACATAGGTTACTTGGAAAGTTTTTAAAACATGTTTTAAGTGTATAAACGAATAACTGCAAATTGTGTAAAACATTATCGAATATTTTAGATGTCCTGTTTATTGCCTTACATACGTGATCGTAATTAAATTTAAAAAAAATAAATAAATGTCGTAAATGATAAATAAACACAAACATGTGATGGATTTAAGACTAAAGTATGACGTGTGTTTGCTGGTTATAAGAACATTATATATAATATTATTATAGTTATAACTAATTAGCTACGGCAGTTCGAAATTAGTGACAGCTTACACGATAATAATAATAATAATAATATATTAATGACAAGCTAACGATGTTAAAATTATAAAAATAAGTAATAATTAGTAAAAGATAAATGAACGAATAAAAATACGTTTACGAAAAACATAATGTAATAAAAATATGTCTAATGCGATTTTTATTGTTGTGTTATTATTGTTATTATTATTACTTTTTTTTTTTTGGTAATAAATCGCACTAAAATGTTAAAGAAAAAATAAAATGCAAATAACTATTAGTGAATAAAATTAAAAATATGGAAAAAAATAAATTTCAATAACTGTCTAATTTTGTCTTAATGAAATTGAGTACATCATACGTCATGTCACCATAGCCCACAGTCGTCATGGTAACAACAGCCCACCAGAATGCGTCCGGGATGGACTTGAAGAAGGAATTCTCTGAGCCGGCTTCGGCGAAGTACACCGCGCTCGAGAATAGCACCACACCTGAAATTCATTAGGACTGTGACTTATAAAAAAAAAAAAAAAAAATGATAATAATAATAATAATAAATAAATAAATAAATAATAATAATAATAATAATAATAGTAATAATGACGACGGTGAAAACGATAAAATAATAATAATAAATATATATGAAATAAAAATATATAAACAAAAAATGAATAAATCGCGATTCCGATCGGCGGCGTAGACAACGACGACGATCATATAATATGGAAGTCCCCCGTCACAATACCGAAACATTTTTCGCATACAAATATTTATAAAAACATTGTACATAATACATAACATATCATTTTATAATATTATGTAGAACCCCGTGATCACGATGATATATTATAAATACATATATATTCGTGAGTATTATATAAAGTTTACTCTATATTCAAGAGATATAGTGTTTTGAAACTTTTACTCGATCTTATTACATATATCTTTCTCATCGCCCTCCTTTTCGTCCAAAAAAATTGTTTTTTCTCTTGTCTTTTCTTTCTCTCTCTCTCTCTCTCTCTCTTTCTATCTATCTATCTCTTAGGTTAGGTTTTTCTCTCTATCAGCCTGTCTTGTACAGAATAGTAGTTCACCGTTATAGTGTTATCTGAGTGTTGTTGAGTATATGTGTCTGTGTGTGTCACTAGTAAGTCATGCGTCGATGTTTATACAATAATAGGTCCAAAAAGGTGCGTCGTAAAATCGTAAATGTCAGTCGTGGCAGTAGTGTAATCATATTATTGGTATGCGTATATTTCGGTCGTGATGGTATATGGTTGGCGGGTGTCGTATTCCTGGCTGCTCGCAATTATAAGTTACCTCATATCACCGTATCCGACTGTCGTCATGGTGACCACGGCCCACCAGAACGCGTCCGGGATGGACTTGAAAAACGACTGATCGGAACCCGCCTCGGCGAAGTACACGGTGCTCGAGAACAGCACCACTCCTGGAAAACAACACGCTCAGAGACAAATGGTCGGCGGCCCCCCTTTTTTTCAACACCACAATTATAATAATAATAAAAATAAAAACAAAAATAAAGAAAAACCCCGAAATGATATAAATAGTATGCACGGCGATTGCGCCACAAGAGTTCAGCGACTTAAATCGCGCCGCGCCGCAACATCCACTTACCCACCAAGCACTGCAGTAGTGTTTGACGCTTGCTTTATATTTGGTTAGGTTTTTTTTTTCGTTCGAAATTGCTAATTTCCGTTTATTTTTATACCGAAATCGACTTGAGTGGTGTACCGAAGTGAGAGAGTGAACGGCCAGATCTCCTGAGACCGAATAATACTTAACGACACGACGCGACTTTCTCTCTTTGTAAACCCGGCTGTTTCGAATCAAGGACATTTTTTTCTTTTCATCCCATTTCAGCGTAATTAATTGTTGTAAACGAATTCGGAATCTAACGCCATACTTTATGTTTATCCGATGAATTCAGTGAATTATATTCTGATCATGCTGTTTCTCTGCACTACAGTGCATCTGGTGCGATGAAATACAAAATTTTTGTTTTTTACCGGACTCATCGGATTTGCATAGGACACAGTATTAATGTTTGAATGTAAGTAGAAACAATTCAGAAATTGTATTTCGTATTATCGATAAAAATAAAATTAGAGGCATGATTGATTCAATGTTGGAAATAATAATTTTAAGTATAATAATTATAATATGCTTATAATATGAAAAAAAATATTAATTTAATATACGCATAAACAGAAAAGTTGTAAAGACTAAAGAATCGAGTAAATGTGTGTGTAATCTAACTTTTTTTATCAGAATATAATATCTTACTATTTTCTTATTTTTTATTTGAAAATCAAAGTCATATTAATTTTTAAAAATTATGAATTTTTTTAACATTTAAAATTATTTTACTCCAAAGCATAATACATTTTTAAAATTTCAACTTTATTAATATTGGGTATAACTGGTGCAAGGAACGTATTAAATGTATATCTATGTAAAAAGTATTTGAAAATATATTTCATTGGTTTTTTTTTATGAATTAATTTAGCTTTATAATATTACTCTTATACCAGATACCCTTAAGTTACATTTATTTTATCATATCAAACAGTTTTTGGTCTTGTTTTTTATACGAAAAAAAAATAAATCATGTGGAGGAAAATATTGTCCATTTACCAACAGTTTCGTTTCCGACCGTCACACAAAAAACTGTATATCAATAATAACCTGAGTTACACAATAACTGTGATATTTTGTAAAATTCTACTTTTCAAGATATTAAGTATAGGCAACGTAAGTGCTAAAATATAAATATTGTAACGTTCACTGTGTACTCGAAATCTCACAGTGCGCAGCTGAAAGAGTTATATCATACGAATGAGTGTTATAATAGGCGAATAAAGCTTTAAATACGATATAACATTGTATTATAATAACTTCGCGAATCGATTTAAAAAATCACTATTTCGAGTGGAGTGTTTAGAAAAGACACAGTTTAAGCGTTTATTTATATATCTAGAGTTTTTTCCACCCTTCTTACCACGCCACCTCGGTAGACATAAATATATTACGTGTATTTCTATATACATATATAGATACACAGCTGACGAAGAACCTGTGTGTGCAGAGAAAAGTAGGCCGTTTTTCTTCAATGAGGTTATTCACAAAAACCCCGGATGAATGACGTCATTCGATCGCTATAGTCGGAGGCGGCGCGCGCGGTATCCATGACGACGGGGCCGGTCCGGGCGCGTGCAGCACCGACCCACAATAAACATATATTTATAATAACATATATATGGGCGAGCCTCGACCACCTGGTTAGGAAATGTTACAATAATATAGTTTGAATGAAAATACTTTAATGTTATCGCGAAAATTGCAGATAAATACGATAATATGCTTAAATATGTGCGTTATGCGGATCATTGGGGATAGGTGAAATCGGAAGCCACGTGTGTCGAATCTTCGGAAGCACTACTAAAACGATACATTAATTTAAACGAATTTCAGAGTGTTTGTCACCCTTGATCGTGCCGAATCCAAATGTTTTTCGTGCAGTAGTTAGCACCAGTCAAAGATATAGATCTTGAACAAATCGAAAGGATACTACCAGTAAATTCAGTAGTAAACAATAGAAAGAACCGAAAATATTAAAACAAAATGGTTACGATGGACATGGAAATGTCTAAAAATCCATTAATTAAACTGGTTCAATATAAAACCATTAAAACAAAAAAAATCGACGTCTAGAAATCGAAAATTACAATTCGCGTTCACAATACTACAGCACTGTAATCTCATTCGAAAAAAAAAAATTTATCGATTCATATATGATTTTTGACAAGGAACGTGTTTGTAAGCACTTTACGTTCCATCCAAATTGTACCAACGGACAAATGGCTCATCACCAATCACGCATCGTGATCAAATATGATATATTACAGTGCAATAATCGCATACGCATTTTCGCCACAAGTGCAACATAGAAAATCGGACATGATGGTAATAATAAACGGTTGTGAGTTCCGCTCCACTAAATCCGATTGGTGAAATTGATCGGCCGTCTGTGTGGTAAATCGTGTACGAAGTTTTGTCTTTGGTCGGTCCGACGGAAAATGCGAGAGTTAGGGTCTGTCGAAACGGTTTTCCGTCGATTTGTCATGATAAATTCCCCTCGCGATCGTTTAACCAACAACTGTTGAATAATTATTAATTTATCGTACAAAATATATACTATACATTCACACCAGATATAAAACAATAAATATGACTGTCTCGCAAAAACTTTTATACGGCAAGTGATGATTGGATTTTTTACTGTTTATTTTTTTTTCCTAACCCTATCTAAACTACGTGAATTATATAAAAATAAAAAGTTTTATAAACTAGAAATATATTTTATTTTGTGATTTATGCTAGAAATTATATGTTTATTATGTTTTTTTTTCAAAAATATTTTATTTAAAAATTACTGTTTTGTAATTATTATATAAAAAAAAACCTATGTTTAAATATATAAAATATATATTGTACATATTTTATCCATATTATATTTTATTTTCGAGAACCTTACGCAAAAACATCATCTTATTGCGTGATGAAGACAGCTACATACGAATGTGTTTTTGAGCTTTAGTGTGTATGATCCTCTATGTGTATTTGCGAGAGTTTTTTTTTCGTTGCACGCAGAAAAAGTTAAAATCAATAACAGCGGACTAAGAATGTAATGCGCGCGGTGAATGAAGACCACAATATACAGTTGCGCGCGACATGTTGTAGCTTTTATGCGACGATCTAATTGGGTGAAAACAAACACTCCAGGGATATGGTGTGAATTTTAATCCAACTTTTGTGAGTCAAGCGCCTTTATTTTACTGGAAATTGGATACCAGTGCTCAACACCCCTTTTTCAAAAAAAAAAAAAACAACCTGACCGACTATTCTTATAGCTGAGACTATAGGAACTAAGGAATCACGTCACAATATAAACTTTGTATGTGCATAAAATCCATTTTGTGAGGTTTTTGTGCGTCATAAGTCCCTACAATCAGATGACAGGAATTTAAAACATTTTGGTTTTTATTATATAATGTTATGACTTTACGGGGTATTGAAAATTCATTCGGGAAGATAGACCTCATGTTTTCTCTTGGACGATTTTCAAATGAATAATACGATCGTCCGTGTGAATTAAAATCATCGGAGTACTAATTGCTACAAGTACACTAAGTACAGAAGTTGATAATAAAAAGTAGTTATCAATCAAATTACTTTAATCTATATTGACTTAAAGTATAATCAATCTTCTATAAAATGGGTTCACCGAGATCGGCGAGACAAAAAAAAAAAAAAATCTACAATGAACTACAGAAATATGAAGTCTACTAAAATAAGTCTACATAGAAATTTGATCTAGGTTAGAACATCAAAGGTTATGTATTTCTAGATCTAGGTTTATTTTAAAAATCTAATTCGGTTATTCATCCAATTATACAGAGACATATAATTTTAGTTTATAACTATAAGTCCATATTATAGTTAACTAGATGGATAGAGATTTGGTAGTGATATTTTAGATATAAGATTTGTAATCTATAGGACGTTGGTCTGTCTTAAAAGCTTTACTATCATTGTAACATTGTAATATTATAATTTATAATAACTAATTAATTATTCAGTTTTCTATTCTATGCCCGTGAGATGTGCTTCACATCGTGTGATTTGAAAAGATTCGAATGTATGTGGTTTAAAATAATGAAGAGACGATATTGTATTGATTAAAATAAATTGTTGAAACAGTATTGACTAAAATTTGACGTTGTTTTGTTCCATATTTTTTAAACAAACATTTTTGGCTTTATCAAAACAAAATTTTCTAATAATGAGAAAAAGTAATAATGTAATATTTTAACAAAGTCAATCGCCACGGTTATTAAGTTATGATTTTTATGGACATTATTAAACTCGTGTATGTTGTCAGAATCTAGATATAACTAATCGCTCGTGAACAGGTTAGCGTCTGTACTAGTTCATGGTATGACTGTAGGCAAAACTGTTAAAGAAAAAATAAATCCGTTCAGGGTATATATTATAAATTATACTGTGAAGTATTATCTATTAACCGTAAAGCGAAAAAATATTCTAAATGGAGGGAGGGAGATAAAGTCCCCGTTAGCTTTCAGCTCCGGATCTGCGTCTGTTAAACAGACAAATATATTATTACATTATATTATATAAAAATATGGACTTAAAATGCGACGATGGTATATTATGCATTGTATGATGTATATTATTATGCTTCATATTTACGCATATTAAAGAACCACGTATATATTATGTTGTATATGAGATTATACAGAGAAAAATGAAAAAAGGAGTAGGCATCTGGCATTAATCAGCAAAACAATTATTATTATATGTACTTAGAAATCTGGAATATTGTCGAAAATATAATATAATATAATATAATATTGTGACAAGACGAACTATTTAGGTAGTTTTCGTGCGCCGGTCATCGTGAAAAACACCATTGTAAGAATAGGTAATCACCCTACGCATATCTATTATTATAGAATTTTACACTAAACAAATTGCTACTCACGCATATTACACATACATTCTATTATTGATACGCAAGGGTAACTATTTTATTGTGAACTAGATGATATTATTATTATCATGGGATGACACGAGGTCGTAATATTTTAACATTTTCTTTGATTATTATATGGGTATCAGTATTGGCCATTAAAATCAGTATGACTATTCAAAGATATTATCTAGTTTACGATAAAATAGACATTTGACTCTTGCATAATATTTGTTGGAATATTTCTGCGCGACTCGAGCTCTACATATCTATACTTACTATTTATATTATATAATATAATATGATAAATAAAGTATTTGGTAAGTACTTAGGTGTTTAGTAAAATAAGTTACTCGTGTAGTCACTTTACACAATTATAATTTAATTAAACTTTTTATGATATATAAAAACTAATTCATTTTCAGCTTAGAAAATTACGCATGTGTACAGTACTTCATTAAACAATTTTCGCGTCGCATAAAGTAGAAATGAATTTAATATTTATCGATTTTAAGCTTTAAACTCCTATTTTCTTTAAATATTGCTGAAATTTAATAACTTAAAGATCATAAAAATCATTATCTGATTATCGAATGAACAAAATGTATAATATTATACATATATTTATATATATTATGTTAACAGACTCGTTTATAGTCACATTACAGAAATACTTTTAAAAATCAAAATATCATTGTACGACAATGTAGACATGATGAAACGAATTTAGTAAACAGAATATTATACATAGATAAACATCATAAAATTGTACAAAATAAGTTATCTTGTTACTTTGTACTAACGTATTTAATTATATTAATTTGCTATTTTTTGTGCATGAGTAACTTATATAACTGTGATTTGATTAATTTTTTATTTTATAACGAGTAACTTTATAACGATATGTTTAAGCCAATACTATAAGTATGTATTGATATATATATATTATTAAAAATAAGATTATAGTTACGAATCTATACTCTATTTTTTTAAATCGTTGTAATTTGATAGAGAAATATGATTATTTAGTATGTTGTCTGTTATATAGACTCAGGCAAATCAGACTTTCTATTACGTATACAATATTAATTATTTCTGTAGACTAGCAATCCAAAAATCGAGAAAACCATCGAAAATTTAGACTAAAGATCGATGAACGATTTAATTTTTCTTCACTAGATAGAGCACAGGGAAAATTATGCTAACTCGATTGCACTCAGTTTACGAGTTATTTTCGTAATGTACTTACATTTTTATCACATGACGGTGGTATCAAAAAATGTCAAAGACAATTTTTTTTTTTTTAACGCATACGCCCCAATAAAATCCATGGCTTGATTTGGCTGTCGATCTTCTGGAAATCGGAAAGACGCAAAACAATTGAATATCTCAGGTTTGAGCAGTAAGTGGTTCATAGAACGGTGCTGATATCGGTATACAATACAGCACACAATAAGATATAACGAGCAGCGCTAACGAATAATACAGGGGATAATAATTTTGAACCTCAATCGCGTTTGAATAAATAATAACAAGACAAGTAATGATCTAACGAGAATTCCGATGAAACTTTCTCAATATACTATTCTATATTTGGCTCCACGTCGATTGGGGTAATGAGAAAGGGCTTGCAAAGACTATACTGTCGGAGTTAATACGCATACAAAGGGATGAATTTCTATTTAAATTTTTCCAAACGCCATATCGACAAACCGTATGGAGGAAAGTTTCGATAATAGACTACTAGCTTGCTGCGTAATATACCCACGTCGAGTATATATAATATTTTATGCGTTATTAAAAACAGAAACTTTACAATCAATGATGTGATATATTATATAGTCCTAAAATTTGATAAAAACCATTGGAAATTTTCGGAAAGAATCTAATTTTCGAGCACGATGGTCGATTATTAAATTATGTGGTACCGATAAAATGAGCGATTGACCGGAAAAATGTGATTTTATAATAACTGTGAGTCCACTAAATGTTACGTCTATCATTTGAAAGGTACTATTGAATTAAAATCGTAAATAGTGAACATATATGTACATATATTGTACACTAAGTCAAAATTTAAATCACAATGGAAAATTTGTAGATTCAAATACTCTTATAACTATATGTAAACAATACTGAAAATCAGTAAAAACTGCTATAGAATATTGTAAGAATATGGTTAGATCTTTTAAGAAAATTTTCGAAATGGCCCGCGTTCCAAAAAAATTACAACACAATAACATGTGTAATAAAACGCTTGTACTTCGAATATTCGGATAAATTAAAAGTATTATATTATATTGTGCAGGATAGTTGTGTCATCGCGTATAAACAAAAACTACCGGGTACAAGAGAGAGAAAGAAAATGACGTCACGTGAAAAATTCATCGCTCTTGTCGGGCTAGTGGTGAGGCGCTTGATTGTCAGTGGGTGAGAGTTGCCCGGGGTCGGAAAATCTAATCAAAACCGGACTTGGTAACGGACGGAGAGTTGAGCGGTGGATGCGATACAGTGTGTATATATACATGAATACGAAAGAACGGAGAAAAGGACGCATACAAACACTGATCGAGTGAGTGAGAGAGAATAACAAAAAAAAGGTTTAACCAGGTAGACGAGGTGTGTACGGCCCGGCGAGAGGCGTTTTCTATCTCTCTCTCACTCTCTCTCACTCTTTATATATATAAGCACAGTCTCTCTACAATTACGGAGGAGCTCGGGTCGGCATCAATCGATAAAATGACACGTTGGAATGTTACGTTTATTTTCGTTTTGCCCCGTCGCCAACGTTATATATATATGTATATATATATTATATATACGTATATTATATTATATATAAACAAACACTTTAACTGCCGCCACCGCCAACAGAAATTGTTTACGCGCGACCACTCTAATTTTCAGCATCATAAACAGCGTTTCCCGATCACTGATTTTTGTCTGCACCCACCACGACAATACGGGAATGGGAAAGGAAAGATGCGTAAATCGAATTACTTTGCGGCGAACCTATCTCTCCGATATAAACTGCTAATGACCCGTGTATTGTATACGATTTGCTGTCACTGTTAGAGTGCAACTGACGTAATAAAAGATAATCGAGGATAGGATAAGATCCAATCCGTCATCATGAAGGACCGATGATACGCGATGACTTCCGTAAGTCATATTTTTATATCTATATAATCATCGTTTTCGTTGGTACCACGAAAAATTTCGGAACACACGCAATATTTCAAGTTTTCTTTCGTCTTTGCTTCGGACCGCATAGTAAACCAGTCTGGTTTATTTCTACCAGCACCGAATTATTTATCATAAAAACGCGATTTTATATACGTCGCGGTACAACGAAATTAAACGCAAGTATCTTCGTAGTCAACCACGCGGGGTATCAATAAACGATGACAATAGCAATAATAAGATACGTAGTACAGGCGGACGCGGGCGCGGTTCGTCGTTGAAAAATCTTACCGATAAATAAGAAAAATATGAGCAGTCCCAGTTCTCGCATGGAGGCTTTTAGGGTGCGCCCGAGAATTTGCAATCCCTTGGAATGTCGGGATAGTTTGAATATCCTGAAAACCCTCACGAGCCGGATGACCCTGAGTATGGCCAATGACATGGCCTGGTTGGTGCTCTTGTCCTGCGGGTTCTGCGGCGCTTTTGGCAGGTTCATCGTGGGGTCCTCCTCCTCTGCAATCACCGTGGCCAATGTGATGAAGTACGGTATTATAGCGATTATGTCGATCGTGTTCATCACGTCTTTGAAGAAGTGCAACTTATTAGGGCAGGCGAGAAAGCGGACGGACAGCTCGAACGTGAACCACACGATGCATATGGTCTCAATTAAAAAGAACGGATCGGTGATGTCAGGCACCTCGTCCTCCTCAATTTTTGTACCATTAGTCGTCGTGTTGAACACCTTGTAGTGTTTGAACTCTGGCAATGTTTCTAGACAGAATATCACGATGGACAGTAATATGACGAATACGGATATGATGGCCACCACTCGAGCGGCTTGGGAGCTTTCCGGGTACTCGAATAATAGCCACACCTTCCGTTGGAACTCGGGTTTTGGCAGTGGTTTCTCTTCTTCTTTTATAAAACCTTCTTCTTCCCTGAAAACGAAAAAATGGTAAAGCAAAAACCGCAGTAGAGATTGCATAACATTAAAATTTAATATAATGATAATAATAATAGCTAACTATAATTAACCTAATCATAAATTTCGTCAAATTTTATTTTATCATCAATATACAAAACAAATGCGAAATTGTTTAATCAAAAGGATATAAGCCTCTTAAGTCCTTTATAAGCTGTTAATTAAAGATGTTTTATAAGTAAATATCAAATATAGATTAAATAAATATGTACTATTAAAACGCCGGAAAAAATTATATATACATTATTAATTAGTAAATATTATTACATTTATTCAAAAATCGTTCACTTTAATCAATGTATACATTTATTTTAAGAAATAAATTAAATAAAGTTGTTTTCTTTTATATGGTAGGAATTTTCAATAATTTCAATAATGTAACTGTGATTTTATCTTATTATTAAATTATTAAATTATACTAAGGTACCTATTTCGTGTATTTCAATAAGAACAATTCAATTTTATAAATTTTTACGCGTCGAAAAGTTCAAAAGGTATAATGTTTGATTCGTATGACGTAAACATTATTATTTGTTACCTGAAAACATTTTTGTTTTTTTTTTTCGACATAAAATGTAGAAATTATATTATATAAATAATAAAAATAAATGAATAACTGAAAAATCAATACATTGTCATTCTATCAAAAAGGCCCCATTATATTACATAATTTCTGTTATTATTGATTTATGGAAAAAAGGAAGTAAAAAATATCTTAGATACGTATTTGAATAAAAAAAATGAACACCCTACCAAACATATATCTAGGAAGTCATGTAGCAACTGTTTCAATTCCATTTCAAATAAGATTTTTCATTGGTGAACAACACACAGACACACAGACACATAGACACAGAGATACAGACACACAGACTCTCTCACACACACACAGATACAGCCACAGATACAGACACAAACACACACACACATACATGACATTATATGTGGTGCTTTGCTTGAAGTACTTTATTATGTAGCTCCAAAAAAGGAAATTGCGTCAAATAGTATTGGTTTAATGCATTTTTCATGAGTTAACTTAAATAATATATGACTATTTATATTCGAGAATAATAACGCACCATACGATTTATGATCCGAGTAGGATAGGGTGCAGCGTAATGGACTCCCATATTTCAAATAATCATTAGCGCGTAATCAAACTGATTAGATTAATTAGGTTTATTTTGCTGGGTTAGGTTATTAATAAGGTTTTTAGTCGTCATCATGCCGTGGTCTGGTGAAAAACGTGGTTTCGTTATTGAGACATTTTTTAAAAATGCCAAATATGTGATTGCGACAAAGAAAGCATTTCGCACTCATTTAAATTCAAATGAAAGTGTACCTTATTAGAAAACAATTTTGAATTTGATACAAAACTTAAGAGCAACACATGATCTGCAATGTCTAAAAAATCAGTTGGATGTCTCAAGTCCGTGAGAACATCTGAAAACATTGCTGCAGTAAGGACATAGATAGAGCAGTCTCTATTGTGTTTTGCTCGTAAACATGCCTCTGCTCTCGGGATATCGGATCGAACGGTAAGGCGAATTTTTCACTGTGATCTTAAAAGTTAAATTAAAATCATACAATATTATGATAACTCAGGAATTAGGTTAAGTAGATTGGGGAAAACGAAAAGATTGCTGAAATGCGATTTTTATAATTGTGCCTTCCAACGGTATTGTGTGGAGTAGTGACGAAGCACATTCCTACATTTCTGGCACAGTGAATAAATACAATTTTCGTTACTAGGCTGCTGAAAACTCTCGAACAATACACCAACAACCTTTTTATAGTCCTAAAATAACAGTTTGGCGTGCTTTGTCAACGGTAAGCATTGTGGGAAGAGAGTGGCGTCAAAGTAACTGTGACTTTCAACCGGTACTGCGAGCTATTGGAAAACTTTATACACCAAAAATTGAAGAGTACAAAAACAATTACATTTGCATGAAAATTGCGTTAAAATGTTTTGAACATATTATTACGAATTTTTCCTTTTATTTAAAATATATTGCTACGAATCATTACATGAGTGCTGGCAGATAGAAAATACTTGATGTGGTCCTTTGGTTAACCAATCGATGACAAAAATGACGTGTCGACATCAATATAATTTGTTTTCAAACGATCGCTACATATATGTCTCAAAATTTAAACGCGTATTCTATGTACGATACGTCACTGTCGCATGTCAACAAAAAATAATAAGCCTTCTTTAAACACTTTAGAGGGTTTTATTCTGGACATATCGATTCAAAATGGGTATAAAAAGGTGAACAATACTAACAAACAAACGCGTGTATAATACAGGAAAAATTATCGATAGTCAATCGCTTTATCCACAATATACCTAAAAAAAGACGTAGGTACATAAATTGTGTATAACCGTTTGATGGGACCCTATTATATTGGAGATTGACGTACGATAGACAATATTGAAAAAGTCACATTCTAAGAATTAATTATAAAGTTAGAGAGGACGTGAACGAATAATGCTGAAAAAGTTTATTTTTCTAACGGAGTACTTTTAAATCATAGTAATTGTCAACAAAATGCTCATAACAAGAATTCAAAGCTAATTCAAAATTACTCGAAAATCATTTTGGATTATCGTCATTATTTTTCGATTTCAAGCTTTCGACTTCGGTCTACATTTTAATAATTGTTAAAAAGGATACGTTGTGATAAGTTTAGTAAGCTACCATTTATATTAGGCTAGTAAGTCGTCATAAAACGGTACTTGTGCATTATATCATTTATTACGCAGTACATTTATTTTTGGCAGTGGAAACACGAGAACAGGACTTAGGAATAATATTATTGTTGTACCGTTCGCCTCGAACATATCCGAATCGTGTAACTGTTTTGCCTATCCATTTCGCCGGCGAGTCGCTAAATATTTAAATTATATTGGTATACTACAATAACAATTATTATTGGTATCTGAAATTATAGTCTAGTCTTACATTTCATTGTCTATTGCTATTAAATCGAACAAATTTTTGGAAAACATTTTTTTTCGGGACTGCTAACGACGTCATTTAGAAAATATACAAATCGTAACTCACACCCATGAATAATAATATAATATTTAAACAATGACGACAATAATGCAAATGCATTCGAGGCAATGCGCGTCTATTTTTAGAGAAGATAATATATATATTTATATTGTAACGACGGCGAATTTCAGGTCGTATTGATCGTCCCGCGTCCGACCACCGGCTGGCTAGATATATAGGCTCATCCTCTGCTGTGCGCGCTGCACCCACGTAAGCCATTTACATTGTTGCCGTTTTAACTCGTTTGCAGCCTGAAGGCAAAATCCCGACCGGTGGCGTCCCCTTCACCTATCACCCCTATAAACTTTCCCCGCCACCAACCCTTGGCGGTTATTACTATGTACATATTATTATTTACACTAGTGCTATTACTGTTTATAATACAACAATATATTATAATATGACTCGATACTATGATGATAATAACACACTAATACATCGGTACAATTAAATGGTTCTCGAAAGAATTAATTTTTTTAGTCTTAACTCTATTTTTTGTATAGCACTTCAAAAGTTTATCGATTGACAGTGGTTGCTGCGCTTGACCAACAATAAAACACACAGAAAAATATATTATGCACTATCTAACGATGTCTTAAGGTATCACATCAGTTAGCGGTCTGGAACTTTGGAAAATTACTACTTTACGGAGGTCGTTTTACCGGAACGGAATGTGAAGTATTTGAGCGTTTATGCCAGAGAGTGATTTTTTTTTAATTTTTGATTCCCTTTTTCATCTGAGATAAGATAGATTTCAATAGGTTTCCATTATATAAAAGATAAAAAAAAATTTTTTTTGAATAATAGGTTTATGAAGATTACACTATAATGCCACTATACGTATTATATGACTACAAACATTAATTAGTATTATGCATAAAAATTTATATTTTGTAATTATTCGTGTATAACGTTATATTAATACACATTATAGTGTACAATTTTGTGTTTTCTATTCGGAAAACGGAACTAGTCGTTTTTTGATCTTAAAATCACGCATTTGACACAAAGTGTTAATTTATGATGTCCAATAACAGTAGTTTACAATATGTATGCGATACGTGTATATAAATATATATATATATATCTATGTATAAGAGCAATGCGCGTATTTAGTTGGTAAACTGAAGTAAGTTGTCAGTATGCGAGTAATTAATGTCACGTATGAGGCCCAAAATATAAACGTGTTCGGAAAATACATACATAGATAACGTGTAGGAGAGAAGTTCTTAGGGCACTGGTGGAGGAAAAGCGAGAGAGACTCGATCCTAGTTAAGTCTTCGAATTACAATCTTACGTGACCCATTTGCCACAACAGCAGCAGCGTCAGAACCTATCCTATACTCACTCATCCATTCCAATGTAGTATTCCACCTTAACACCACCCTTCCTCGAATCATTCGTTGAAATTCGGGCAAGTAAAGCATATTAGGCGCGGTAGGGTGGAAAAATACACGCATGCGCGACGACGAACACATACCTATATTCGTTCCCTACCACCAGCACTATTATCTAGCCCTTGCAAACCCTTGAGGGTAATTGTTTCGAGCGACAGCATCATCTCTACGACAACGCATGCACGTCACCTAAGTATAATATACATACACATTTATTATATGTATGTGTATAGAAATGCATGACGTGGTGAAAATTGTGATGAAGAAGAAGTTTCGTGAATGATTGAGTGCGTGGTTAGTATACAGAGTGACTCCAGTATAGATATATTACTTGATAGAAGCGAGTTTTAATTTTTGGATCGGTCCAAGCTTGTGTGGACTTAAGTCAAAGTAACATCCCGATCAAATTTTATTTAAAAAGAAAATTTTAGTGACACAGTAAATTATGTATATTATTATACATTATACATATATTTTTCATATACACAGTATATATAAATGAAAAAGAAAAGAATCGTTAAAATTAATTTTCAAAAATGTATGATCAACACTAATCAAACACATTACACATTAATATTAGATAGTCTTGAAACTTAGAACTCTTACCTAAATTTATTGGTGGCCAGTTCGCCGAGTTCGTAGAACTTTATTTCCTCGGAAAACACGTCCAACGGCACCGTAGTTGGCCTCCTCAGTCGACCACCGCTCTGGTAATAGTAGAGGATGGCGTCGAACGTCGGTCGGTTCCTGTCGAAGAAGTACTCGTTGCGCAACGGGTCGAAGTACCGCATCCGTCGACACGGGTCGCCCAGCAGCGTGTCCGGGAACTGGTTCAACGTCCGCAGCTGTGTCTCGAACCTCATACCGCTCACCTGAAATGGATCCGTTAAATAAGATTATAAGCATCAAAGTTTAGGTTATATTTATATACGTATATATATAATAAAAATACAAAATATTATATCTTCAATAAGAGTTTAGCACGTTTATACAGGATCGATAACGCGAGTCAAGCAAATATGATTGTAATATATTAAATGTGATTTTACAACCGGTTGATTTTTTTTTTTTCATTAAATATAAAAACATTTACTTTTAAGGTTCTTACAGAAATATAAATGTAGAAAAAAATGTTCTTGTATTATTAGAAGCTTTTATCCCCCCTAGAAAGTGATGACTATCGGAGACAAAAAAATTACACGTTGTTAGCATAACATTATTAAACAAAATAATCTATATACATAATGATCGTAGTGAAAGGAGAAGTTTGATTACTTGATTATTGAACCAAAATAGCTAGGGGTTTCTGCAAAACTTTGGTATTATTATACTTTAATACTCCTGAAAAAGAAAAAAAATTACTGCAAAAGGGTAAAAAAACTTCTGTTGTATCACTTTGCGTATGATCTGAAAACGGTAATAGTTTACGTAAAAAAAAAATAATAATGAATTTTGCCATAACTCAAACTTTATTAATATATTATATTTATTAGTATTTTATGAGCTAAATCTTTTTTTATGCACCTAACTATTATAATTTCTCAAAAAAGTGCATAATTAATTTGCACGGATACACATGGATCGGTGCATAAATTAAATAGCCTTTAACATTGATAACTTGTAACGATTATAAACCAATTAATACCTATTTATTATCTAATGATATAATTAATAAAAATATATTTTTGGCCTAATGATCAATATAAATTTTATGTGGACTTTATTTTTCATCATATCGAAACCTTTTACAATGATATATTTTATTATTTGTATTTCACTATATAAATAATTCGTAACCTAAAGTAACCTAGTTCTTGTGGGAAAACATTGAATATGTTTTATTGTATACAACCATGGTTGAAACGAAAAAATAGAGATCGCAGTGTTCGCGTGAACTACAAATATAGAGATACATTATTTTTAGCGAAAAAAACTACCATGAATGGTACACTGTACATTTAGGTCAAATAGAGGAAATTATTAAATTATTGCAGTATTTGTTAGTCTCAACATAATAGTTGCATTTAGTTTTCGATTATTAAATTTATTACCGTGTTAACTAAACATTTCTTTCATAATTTTAAAAATAAAATACAAGAAAATACTGTTATGAATACTATGAGGTTTCTTAAATTTAAGAGCATATTTCATGATTTTACAGTCTTATGAATTAATAATATGATTGAAAATTAATAGAATTAAATAAAAATTATATTGTTCAAAGATGCTAATTTTGTTGTTATGTCATAAACTCAATAAGGTCAACCTTTCACTTCAGAATCAGTGTAATATAATATTTTATAAAGGTTATACGTGTATTAATTGGATTTTTTTTTAACATTTCTTACATAAAAAGTTGAAAATTCTTTTTACATAATATTATAATATCGTACATACGAGGCAACGTAAGTACGTTAATTTGTTTCAAAAAATATAATATATCGCACTAAAATCTCACGTAAGAACTTAACTGTACAAATACATTATTGTAGGTGCCTATTAGTGGTGGTAAAATTGTTGTAGTAGGTACTAGGTAACTATGTAGATGTAGGTATAGAACATTGAACATAAAATAAGAGTATTTTACAATCACGCACCGAAATAAACGCACAACCATTTGATAATTTTAAAAACAACTGCCATTTCGCCGGCACATATTGTAAAATCGAAGAAACACACATTTATCAAGATAATATATATTAGCGTTTATTTTGGGTCGAGTTTAATAACCACTAACTACGTGGAACATTATGTGAACATTATATTCGTACTAGATTATTATACATATATAATGATATATTATTACAGTATCGTAACATAAACCAATCAAACTTTGTATACTTTACGCGAGTGTTTTGTTGTTATCGAGAACAATAATGTATTATGTTAGAGATAATAATCATCGATAAAAATTAGAATATGGTAAATAAAAATTTAGTATCATTAATATTCCTAATGTTATTATTTTTTTTTGTAAGATTATTTCACGCATATTATTATAGATCGATATCGATTATATTATGTTGTGTTTAAATAATAATATATTAAGATAATATACAATTTTGATTTTAAAACTCGCCAATACGTCGTTAACAATATGCTCTTACTATTGGTACCTAGGTTTACAATAATACGTGTGATTAAGTATAGGTGTGCCTTTGTATTAAAATTATATTGTATGCATATATCCTATAACTATTGTTATGATTTACTTCAGTTACAATTATCGTTCAGATATGATAAACAAAAGAAATCATCATTTCATTTCCATAAAAAAGACATTTTTATCGTATCATAATAGAGAATATATTTATCACTGTACGTTTCGAGACATTCATGAGTAATAGCAAAATGGAAAATTACACTCCAGGGACATATTTTAATAACATTTAGAGGGGAATTTGTCCTGCGAGGTCTTGTTTGAATATAAAATTGAAAATAAATTAAACCCACCTATTATATTAAATCATATATTAATAGAAAGATTGAGGATGATTATTATTCTGTGTAACTGATTTTTTTCTTTTACTTTATTATCAAACTTCTTGTGGATTCAGGGAAAATATAATATCACATTATTATATTATTATTGTTATTTACAAATAAATTACGATATTAACAAATAAAACAAACAGTTATCGTAATTATAAGTGTGTGTATAATTTTCGTATATTTGTTGATTACAATTTTAGTACTTGAAATATATTTAATGGTTATAAACTGTAATATTATTATGCCAGGTATAATTTAAAAAAAAAATGGATTGCTTTAACCCGTCATGACTCTGGTATATAATTTGAACACCGCTACTCACGCGTAGAGCAATTCGCTCACCTTGTATATTTTATTATAAAAATAATAATCTAAGAACAATTAAATGTATAACAATATTATATAATTAATAAGCTAACAAGTAATAAAAAAATTCAATGTTTTTAATTAATATAATAAAAATGATTATAATGATCTATGTGTTATATGAAATGTAAAAAATGCAATGTTGTAAACTGCTATTTAGAATCAATTTAAAACAGTAAAATAATAAAAAGAATAAACGAATAAACGAATTAAAATAAACATTTTTGAATTAATTTACGTGAGTAATTTTAACGCAATTACCTACTCACGCGTAAAGGGATTCGCTCCCACAACACAACTAATTATTTTCGACAATATTTTTGCTTATCAAATAATGAAGTTGCCGTTTATCGATAAATTTATTTTTAATTAGTTTCTTATAAGGTGCTACGAGTTAAAATAAAATACAACTAAGACCAAGCCGGCGGCTCTCATATTAAAAATAATGTGAAAAAAATTCTCACATGCGAGCAATGATGGGTGATTAAATGAGTTAAATGAGAAAAAGTTGTATGGAAAAGTTAAATATTTGTATACATATTGAAATATTTTATAATACAAATGTCATCGATAAGTCGTTAATAAATATAATAAAAAATAAATTTTATGTATTTTTGGTTCAATTTCATGTGTATTGCTTAAAAAATAGAATAAAATAAAATAATCAATATAGAATTTTATAAATTTATTTCACGCATAAATTTAAATATCCATAATATAATTATCAATCCAAACCGGTGTCATAGCGTATTAAATACATACAATACATCAAGTTCTAAAATTGGTTAATCCAATTCAACTGATCATGTCTACAGATTTCAAAACCGGTACTCGACGGAATATGCGCTTATATTATACTTTTAACGTTAATTAATAAACGTGTTATACAATATTGGAGTGATTATGAGAACGTTATACCCAAGGGATGCGATGGTGGGTACTTCGTCACACGAAAGGATGACGCGCATTATAAACCATTAGAGAATCATTAATTTGACTCCACCACAGCCGTCTAAAATAATAAATAACGTACATGACTCTATATATACGTCACCCGGTACTCTATACGGAGTGTCATCTTCTGAACTTCCCCTAACACCCTTTCTCTCTAAATAAAACCTCCAAAAAATCTTTATTCCTCTTACCCGTCATTTTCTTTCGCTGAGATTACTTTGCTAAAGGACTTTATAATATATTACGGTAATGTCGTAGAGAAAATAGGCGACATCGACATTGTAGAAAATGTCAGCAGGAGGTGCAGATCGTCACTGTTCATACCGTGCTCGGTTCTAAGTTAGGTTAGGTTATCGTTATATTTGAATACATTTTATGTTTTTAATTATTTAATTTGTTTTTAATACTTGTGAAAACGTTTTCTCTATTTATGTATAATATACTAGGCGTAAGCACTTAAAAACAGAAAAAAAAACACATGAGTAATAGAGAGTGTATGAGGTCAATATGATACTTATATCTATTTTTATAATATCATACATATTATTACATATTAATAAGTTTTAATAAAATCATAAAAAATATAATATATAGATGAATGCATTGAAAAGAGGCGAGATGAATAATGTTGTAATACTATTATTATATCAATAGCTCACTTCAAAATCATGATACAAGATGACGGAGAAAAAATTGTGGTGACAGATATGAAAATTAAAAAAAATCATAAGATAACAATGCATCACTTCAGTGGTGTTTAAAGTAAGTTTTATTTATTCCATTATTTTTTGTTATTAAGTTCTTAAAGATTTTAACGAATATTTGAAATCACTGTTGAAATTATTCCTTGACAAGTCTATATTATGGACACTCTCGTCAACTCGAGTTTATCGTTCGAAAGAACACGGAATTCTATGGTTAATATCCTAATAATACAATAGAGAGTATAAGTACTATGCGTAAAACAATTAAACAAAACATTATTTTTCAATCATTTATGCATACAATTTACTTTCTGATTAATTATAGGTATGCAAGTCGTTTTTAGCAAAATACAAAA